CAGGTCATGTTACAGTTGTATAGGACTTTGGTTCGACCATGTTTGGAATACTGCGTACAGTTCTGGTCGCCACATTACCAAAAGGATGTGGATGCTTTGGAGAGGGTGCAGAGGAGGTTCACCAGGATGTTGCCTGGTATGGAGGGCGCTAGCTATGAAGAGAGGTTGAGTGGATTAGGATTATTTACATTAGAAAGATGGAGGTTGAGGGGGGACCTGATTGAGGTCTACAAAATCATGAGAGGTATAGACAGGGTGGATAGCAAGAAGCTTTTTCCCAGAGTGGGGGACTCAATTACTAGGGGTCACCATTTCAAGGTGAGAGGAGAAAAGTCTAAGGGAGATGAGCGTGGAAAGTTCTTTACGCAGAGGGTGTTGGGTGCCTGGAACGCGTTGCCAGCGGAGGTGATAGAGGCGGGCACGATAGCGTCATTTAAGATGTATCGAGATAGATATGGGCAGGGAGCAGAGGGATACCTTGGAAAATAGGCGACAGGTTTAGATAGAGGATCTGGATCGGCGCAGGCTTGGAGGGCCAAAGGGCCTGTTCCTGTGCTGTAATTTTCTTTGTTCTTTGTTCTTTGGAAAGCAACTCTGGATGGAATCCCTAACCATGCACTCAGATCCTGCATGGACCAGCTGGTGTGGGAATATTTGCAGACTCTTTAACCTCTTCTTACTACTATGTGAATTTCCCACCTGCTTCAAGAAGTCCACTGCAATCCCACTGCCAAAGAAAAATCAGTGTCTTAATGACTACTGCCCAGTGGCTCTGACATCCATCGTTTTGAAGTGCTTGAAGAGATTAGTAATGGCACATATCAACTTCAGCCTCCCAGACTGCCTTGATCTGCCACAATTTGCTTACTGTGACAATAGGTCCTTGACAGGCACTGTCTCCTTGGCCCTGCACTCATCCCTGGAACATTTGGATAACAAGGACACCTTTGTTAGATTCGTATCTATTGATTTCAGCTCCACCTTCAACACCATAATTCCAACAAAGCTCATGTCCCAACTCTGAGACCTAGGACTTTGCTCCCCGCTCTGGAACTGGATTCTCGACTTCCTGACCCGCAGATCACAATCACTAAGGATAGGCGACAACACCTCCACAATAATCCTCAACAATGGTACCCTTCAAATACTCAGCCTCTCACTATATTCCGTACACACTCACAACTGTGTGGCCAAATTCAGCTCTAACTCGGTTTACAAATTTGCTGATGACACCATCATACTGAGTCAGAATTCAAACAGCAACGAAACAGAGTACATGAAAGAGGTAGTCAGTCTTGTGGCATGGTATAAGGCCAACAAACCCTCCCTCAATGTCAGCAAAATGAAGGAGCTGGTCATCAACTTGAGGAAGCAGAGTAGAGGACACACCCCTGTCTGTATCAGTGGTGCTGAGGTGGAGGCAGTTGAGAGCTTCAGGTTCTTAGGAGTAAATATCACCCACGACTTGACTTATCTTATCCATCCTGATCGAAGCTACAGTCAAGAAAGCACCCCTACTTCCTCAGAAGGCTGAGGAAATTCAGCATGTCCACAATGACTCTTAGCGATTTTTATAGATGTACCATATAAAGCATCCTATCCTGATGCATCACAGCTTGGTATGGCAAATGCTCTGCCCAAGACCTCAAGAAATTGCAGAGTTGTGAATGCCCAGTCAATCATGTAAACTAGCCTTCCTTCCATTGATGCTGTCTACATTTCCTGCTGCCTCAGGAAAGCAGCCAACATAATCAAACACTCCCCCCAACCCAGGTGTACTCTCTTCCAGCCTCTTCTTTCGGGCAGAAGATAGAAAAGTTTGAAAATGGGTACCAACAGATTTACAAACAGCTTCTTCCCTGCTGTTAGCAGACTTATGAATGGACATCCTGTACGTTTGAGTTGATCTTTCTCTGCACCTTCTCTATAACTGTAACACTGTATTCTGCATTCAGTTCTATATCCTGATGTACTTATGCAAAGTATGATTTGTTTGGATGGCACACAAAACAAATACATTTCACTGTATCTTAGTACACGTGACAATAATAAATTAAAACTATCAAAATCAAATCAAACTAGTCACTGAATGCCACAGAAAAAATATCTGTTATTCCTCCTAGTTAACAAGGTGTAGAGTTGGATGAACACAGCAGGCCA